GTAGGGGCCTTGGGGTTTTGGGGGTTCCTTATTATAATTATAGTATAATATACGCACAAACTCTATTAAAATTGTTAAGGCCCCTAAAGTAAACCCTAAGCCGCACTAATCATTGGACACCCTGAGCCCGAAAGGGCCCGAAGCCTGTCTCCGACCGAAACCCCTGCTCGAATCCCTCAGCAGAGAATGACGTGGTCCAGAGTACTTCTGCTGGGTTCAGGTTTATTGTTTTGCGTGTGAGGCTTTGGAGTTTTTGAGCTTGTGCGTGTAATATTTTTTGAAAAGGGTTCAGGGTCAAGGTTCGAACGCTCGTCATGTTGTTCTCATAATACAGCGGCCCGCGTTACTGCTGTCGCCCTTGTCGCTGCTGTTACTATCATTTGCAGTATTACCGACATTCTTGTTAGTGCTGCCAGCATTACTTGAAGACAGCCTTAAAGTCCTCAGCCCCTAAGCGTGCTTGAGTATTGTGCACTTAACCTAGACCCCCTGAGGACTCATCCAAAGCAGAATGTTCATTCTGGCTCGTGCGACGTCGTACAGGGGGGCGCGAGTCGGCAGTACAGTCGTGAGAGTATTCCGTGTGCCCCCCGACGTGGGTTGATTTTGACTTCACTCTACACTTCGGAAGCCCAGGAAGCCAGTCATTCAGGGTTTGAACGTGGCCTCACCGGAAGTCTTGCGATATGAAGCTCCGAGAGGTCAACAGAACTGTAATTACAATCGACAATCATGACAGTGACAGTAATAAGAAATAATACAGAATACTAAAAATTACAATAAGAAGAAGAAAACACTAAGAAGGAGGAATGATTATAACAATACTGGTACTGATAGCAATAGAGTAGTAGTCTTGGCAATAACAGTATTAGTATGCTTCAGGTATCAGGATTCAGGATTTAGTGCTCACAGGTTGCAGGTCGGTGACAAGCTCGCTGCAGGTGGCGCCCTACATTTCTTCTTCGGTGCAGGCACAGCGAGCTTCTCTGTACAGGAGAGTGCATGCGGACCCGAAGCTTTCTAAATCCTAACAAAGTAAGCCCTGGCCAGTTTTGCAGGAGCCGTGCGGATTTCGCAGGATGAGGGAAGGGACGTCTCTCCTGGACAGTACAGGGTGGAAAATCCCAAACGACCGACACAACCCGAAGCTTCATTTCTCCCCGGCAATTTCTGCATAGACTCAGTCACGCTGTAGTAGTGAAAACCTTGGAATACTTCATGTAGCTTTACAAAATGCCTGGCGACACCAAAGCACGCGTGTCAAACCCGCAATCTGACACTCTCGTAAAGCCGAATAAGACCTCGCGTCAAGCTCCCCTTTGCGCCCCCAAACCCCAAGGCCTTCTGAACGAGTTCAAGCCGCTATAGCTTCCTCTTTGGACTGCAAAAGCTAGTAATAGTAACAGTAATAACAACAGAAGCAATAGTGGCAACAATGACAACCTAGTCCTAGTAGTGCCAACAGTAACCTACTTCAGGTGTCTGCTACCCCGACCCCCAGCCTCGGCGCGTGTGGCAACAGCCTGGAGGAGACCGCGCCGTCGGGCGCCCAAACTCGGGTGGATTGAGATGAGGGTTTCGGAACAGGCAGTAGGGTTCTTTGAACGGCTATCGTGGGCTGAAATGAAGTCTTGGAGGCATTTTGCGCTGGATTTGCATATTGGATTCGCATGTTTGCTGGGAGTTGAAGAGTTGCAGGGGGTTTGTGGACGGATTCTGTGGAGCTGGGGATGAATCCTAGGGTTGGAAGAGGCCGCCCAAGCGAACTGATTGAGAAGGCTCCAGAAACAAACCCTGTAACCGTTAAGATTGAGATAGTCCTGAAGCTGCAACGCGCTGATTGAACCGGGAGCTACAACGGCAACCAGTGTATAACAGTAATATGACATTTATTTTTAAGACGATAAATGCATAAATAGATAGATAGACAGATAGACAGACAGATGGACAGATAGACAGATAAACAGATAGATAGATAGATACATCGATAGACAGTAGCCCTGATGACTCAGCGCTTGTTGAATTGACTGTAGAGGTTATCACTATCTCCGCTGATAGTGCACTACTGTGGACAGATGTGTAGAACCTATACAAACTACTCGACTGGGACCAAACCCCACTCCTCACCCCACAAGGGTGCACACCTCCCCTTCGAAAGCAGCTGCATGCTCAAGCCAAGGCAAGCCTCTGCGAGCGAGACGCCTTGAGCTTGGCTTCGTGTCTTTGCCTAGGGCAGGGGGGCGCTTGGGCACGGGGTGGGTTTAGTGAGTTGTTGGCTTTGAGGGCTCAACGGCTCAAGGACGCTTCAAAGGGGTTCAATATGAGCAAGATCGCTCTCACGAGGCAAACTTCCGAAATGCTTGGCTGCAAAGCCCAAACCCGATGAGCCCAACACTACATTCAACCCAGGGCGAGCTTTTGCGCATTGGCGTTCTCATGCTTCGTGTGTTCTGTAGTTAGATTCCGAGATTCGTCTACCTCGCCCTCACAGACCTAGAAAAGGGTGGGCACAGCAAACTTTCAACCGAGGACAACCATAAAAATGAAGCCAGGCCCCGAAAAGCTCCAAGCATCAAGCCCAGGAGGCTGCGACGTGGCATTCCGTGGCAAAGTGGCATGAGATATTTCGAATGATTTCAAGCATCAGTACATATAACGTCATGACAAAACACCCCAAACCCCGAAGCCGTACAGTGTATAAGCAGGGTGCACCAACCTCAAACCCCTTGAAACTCTAAACCCCTTGATTCTACCAGATGGCCCAGGCCCATCCCCCGGGCTAAGCTCGCGGCACTGGATGTCCAGTCCCCTGGCAGAGTAGAAAAGCTGGGGAGAAAAGCGGCGGTTTGAGACATCAAAGTCTTTTCGTCGTCGTCGTTGTTGTGGTAGTTGTTGTTGGTGGTGGTGGCGACGGTGCTGGTGTCAATGGTGATGAAGACGATGAAGATCATTTGGCAATGCTGATGATGGTGATGTTGATGAGGCTTCAGTCGGTTGTGCCAATGCCGGTCTAACGAGAATGGAATCACACCTAGATTCGGAACAGGCTTCTCGAGTGCGTGCAGCGACACGAGACGCAGAAGGCCCACCGAACGCTACCCACCGTCAGGGTTCGGGTGTTGGACAGTAGGTGCCGAAATACGTGAGTTTTCGGATACCTGGTACATACGAAGAGCATGCAGGAATCTATCCCTGCACGTTAAATAGTCTTGCAGTCTGGGCGCCCTAGAGAACCCTGTTTGAAACTCCTACAGAGCGTGGTTTTGGGTTCAAGGCTCCGGGTCTTAGGGTGTGGTCTTCAGGGCTTGCAGAGCCGCGGGTTGAGCTGGAAACTCAGAGTTCAGACGCTCAGGCGAAGTAGGGCTGTTAATTAATTAATGTATATATATATATATATATATATATAATATGTATATGTTGCCCTTGTGGCGATACATGATATGACTCCACGTCCATGGCCGAAAGTGCCACAGAGTGCTTCCGGATCGCGGCATGACGTTGTACACGTCCCCCTAAACCCCTTCGTTTCCCAAACCGCCAACCGCCGACTCCGAAACCGCTGTGATGGCGGTTCTGAAGATTTGGCTTAGCATGTTGTTGTGGACCTGCGCTCTCGTTACTATGCTCAGCTAGCAGCTATCATATGCCATGGAGGACTACAAACCGCTACCGTTGCAGAAAGAAGAAGTCTCTACATACTCTTCAGGTAGCCTTCATGGATCTTTTTGGGCTGCTTGTGCGAAAGAGGGCTGAACCTTGAATTCCGGTTTCGGGATCCAGCGCTGCTACGAACTCCAAAGGGTTCTGAGAGCCGCACAGGCGTCCGCTAGCACAAGAACCACTGCATGCCACAAGGGAGTTTAGCGAATAGGGGTGCTACTGGGGATCGGGGTGCCCATTATAGGGGTCATATTCTGGAGTCCCAAGCGCAATGGTCTTGAATGCAAACAGCGGCTGATCCAAGGTTCCTGGTTTACGCCCAACTGGAGCCTCCCAATCCGAAGCAGCATCCGAAAAGGTGAAGGCCCTGCTAAAGCAGCGAGCGGATGTCAGCGGCTCACATTTGATGCTGACCCTTCAGGTGTTGTTCATGTTGAAAGTTCGGGGATGATCGCTGCCTTCCCTTGCAGCACGAGGAGGAAGCAAGGTACCATCAAATCCTGAAAGCCTGTACACCAAGTCCCGAATCCGATAAGATGGCTGCTTCTTCCGCATTGTTCACTGTTGGATACCTCACTTTGAAGCTCGAGAGACTCTAGCAGACTGTGGCATCTAGGCACAACTGGCGGAATTTGGTTTATTGTTTCAGGGTTTGTTAGTTAAGGGTTTAGAGTATGAGGTTTCAGGGGTGTTTCGGTCTCCGAGTGCGTGACAGTACGGTTGCCTGCGAGGTACCCATGATCGAAGGACCTCGCTACCAGTACAGAATCTATTCGGAATCTTTCTCAATACAGCTTCATGGAACACTGAGAAAGCTCCGACAGAACCTCATGAAGCCATGCATCCTGAGGTCAACTTCCAGGAGGGCACACCCTATCTCCGGTCACCCCTGCACTTGGCTGCTGGAAGCCTGGTGGGCGGGTTCGGAGTTGTAAAGGCTGAGGAAGGCATGCCTGTACTTCGAGGAAGGTATGACATGTGCTCCCTTTTCCAGTGGTCGAGGCTTCTGTAGTACTGTCGGGCGTTAGGGTTCAGGGTGTACATGTTTCGGGCTTGGGGTTTCGGGTTTAGGGTTTCGTGTTCAGGGTTGGAAGAGACCCAAAGCCCCGGGGGCTCAGGGTTTTGGGGCTTTGGGAGTTTAGTGTTCAGGGGTTTTTGGCTAAGGAGGGTTGAGGGCTTCAGGGTATTTTTGCACAGGGTTTGGCACCTGGGGGTTTCGAGCTTTATAGGTTCTGACTTAAGGAAAAAGGGTTTCAGCGTTGCAGTGTCTTTGCTCTGTGTTGGAAAGATGGGTTCTGGGGTCAGGGTTTTCGGTTTGCCGTCTTAGTTCAGGGTTTGCGATTTAGATTTAGGGTTTCAGGTTTTTTGATTTGGGGTTTGTGGCTTAGGTTGCGGGCCTTGATGTGGGAACTATTGTCGCTGAGGGCCCTGAACCATAAACCCTAAACCCCCGTCCGACCCAAACAGTGTTTTGACTTTCGAGGCCCTCTTATACAACTCTAGATTTTCCAAACCCCAAACTTCTGGAGCCCTGGGCCCTTTATATGTCCTTAGTCCAAAAGTTTCTCACGCTGGAAACCCGAGGTGGAGAACGGTGGCACAGTCGACGAAGTTGGCTACCTCCTGCAGGCATCCGCAGGGGGTTCTCTATATTCGGATCCCTTTTCGGGTGTCCTGGGATCTAGGATGTGAGCCGATCCCTGTTGAGAGCGATGTGCGCTTACGGCATCAATCTTTGAAGCCTCCTGCAAGGGTCTGGGCTGGTATGCTCTATTGTAGTAGCACCAGGAATAGCAGCCCTGCATGACGCGGAAACCCCGCACTCCTCAACCCCGAGCCTCAGACCCTGGAACCCACCATGGTCTTTGCGCCGGACAGAAGTTTCCCGCTCACCTTACAGCCTGGCACAGGGTCCAGGTTACAGGTACCAGTATGTGACTAGCTCTCGAGATTGAGGCGCGGGTATCGAGATTTCAAGGTTCTACTCGCTCATGTGATTTGTATTGTGGTCTTGCATGACGACCAACATGCATGTACTGTATCACAACAATAACGACGACTACTACTTTGGTTGCTTATGAGCAGAAAGCATAAACTGCATTACTTTTGTGGCTGTCGTACCACTGGTCATTTTCGTGGTCCCATTGGAACCAGCACTATCATTCATACTGGTTGCGATGCTCGTCTTGGATTTTCTTGTCTTTGCCGTGGTGGTGTAGTCGGTATGAGCGTTGTTCTTGCACACTGTCTGTTTTTGTTTCAGAATGACAGATATAACCTATAGGTGCTGGTGAACAAGGGATTTGGGCTCGGGGAACGAAGTGCCGAGGGCGTGCCCGCCGTTTTGGCGTGCCGCCTCTCTGCCCTGCCGCCATGGTGTTCCGCGTCTGGAGTATTGCGGGGAAGGAGCTTGCTGCCATGAACCCCTCGGAGTTGAAGGATGTGAAGACCCTGAAGCGCCAGCTGCGTAGCCCGACATGTTATCGTCGATGTGGTAAATCAAAGATACTACATAGTACGTAGGAAGTGGTAGAACATAGGCCGCGGCCGTCGGATAGTAGGTAATATGTCGAAAGAAAGTGGGAGCAGCAGCAGGAGGAGTAGAAGTAGGGGTACTAGCAGCAGTAGCAAGAGGAGGAGCAACAGGACTAGAAGGGCCACACCGTACCATCCCAAGCTCACTTTCTCAGCCAGACTGTTGATTCTGAGATGCCCAGACTTTCTGAGCTTCGAGTGTTGCTTGATAGCTGCTTGAGGGAAGGCAAGGGTCAGGACTGCTGGGAGCCACGACCCGCCGAGGTCGACTGCATGGCTTTCCCCTTTGCCTTCAGCAGCTCCTCCACAACGGCAATGCTTTGGAGGATGCCGCCAAACTGGATGAGGCTATGACCCTGCAGTTGGTGCTGTTGGCCGTCTGCGATCCTGCGCACGCCCCTGCAAATATGGATGAAGTTGCTGACGAGCTGGTTGAGTATGCCGCTGGGCTCGGGAATGTAGAGATGCTACGCTTGCTATTGGAGGCCGGTGTTGACACGGACATCGTTGGCGGCCGGGGATGCACTGCTCTGATTTCAGCATCTGCCCAAGGCCACACCGAGATAGCGCGATTGTTATTGGCAGCCGGTGCAGACGAGAGAAAGGTGGATAGGGACGGCTGGACAGCCTTAGTTCACGCCTCTGACGAAGGGCATCTTGAGACCGTCCGAGAGCTACTCGAGGCCAGGAGCGGGAGCGACTGTGGAGCTGCCCTCATTCGTGCATGTGAGAAGGGCCACATAGCGATTGCACGCATGCTCGTGTGTTCTGGTAGAGGCACTGCTTCCTTTCGCCAAGGCGGTGCCTGTGCCTTGGTTTCTGCAGCCGACAATGGCCACCCGGAGATCGTGAGGCTGCTTTTGGAAAGCGGTTTTGACATTGACGCTACCGACGAGGATGACTACACAGCATTGAGTTGTGCATCAGACAGAGGCCACACTGAAATTGCCAGTATGCTGCTGCAAGCCTGCGCAGACCCCGATATATTGAACCACTTCGGGCGTACGGCTCTTATATGCGCTTCTGATCGGGGGAATGTTGACAGTGCCATGCTGCTGCTACAAGCAAGGGCCAACGTGAACGTTGCAGACATGAAGGGGGACACTGCTCTCATTCGTGCGTCTGAGCACGGCCATGTTCAGACCGTCCGTTTGCTTTTGGGAGCTGGCGTTGACACAAATATTTCGAACAGCCTCCATCACACGTCTATTCACTACGCATCTGAAAATGGCGATGACGAGACTGTCCGTTTGCTGTTGGGGGCGAGGGCCGACCCCGGCACCGCCCTGGTAGTTGCATGTCATG